CAACAACATACATAATCATATCATCTGCAAACAGAGATAGTTTTACTTTTGCTTTGCTAACTTGGACGCTTTTTATTTCCTTCTCTTACCTTATCTATCTGGCTAGGATTCCAATACAATATTAAATAGGAGAAGTGATAAAGAGCATCCTTGAAAAGGATGAAATGGCAAAATGGGTAGAGGACATGAAAAGACATTTTACCAAAGAAAACATTCAGATGTCCAACAAGCACATGAAACTATGTTTAAGATCTTTGATTACTATTGGTATGTACTCACAGTTGACCCTCCAGAGTTTTTTCAAAGGCAATTAAGGGCACAGGAAAAGACTGTTCATCTTTCTCCTGCAGAGCATCTGATGGATTCGATCCATCTGTGTATCTTTGGGTTGGTAGCATAACTCCTTACCACTAGGCCATCAGAGCTCCCTCATTAACTACTGGTTTTGTTGTTATGTAACAACAAAAGTCTGTCAGAACAGACTCACAGATGATCCTCCAGCAGGCTGTAAATTGCATTGAGGAGAGTGTTCATCTTCTTTCCACAGAGCAGCTGGTGCATTCAAACTGCATGCCTTTGGGTAGGCGGTACAGCTCCATACCACCAGGCCACCAGAGCTCTCTTATTAGCTATTGCTATTGTACTTGCCAAGTACCAGCATCCGAACAGGCCTATAGTTGACACTCTCGTGGGTTTTCAGGGGCTGCAAATCACATTGTGAGAAAATTGCCCATCCTTCTCCCATGTAGCAGCTGACGGATTGGAGCCAGGTGCTCAAATCACTGTGTGCTTTTGGTTGGCAGTACAGCTCTCAAAACCTTAATGAGATATCATTTCACTGCAGTAAACAACAAAGTTCAATGAGACAGCAAACAACAAACGCTGACAAGGAAATGGGGAGATTCGAACATTCATATGCTGCTAGTGGAAGCACAAAATGCCATAACCATTATGGAAAGCAGTTTGGTGCTTCCTTAAAAAGTTGAAAATAGAGGTGTGTGTGTGTGTGTGTGTGTGTACATCTTAAAGAAGAGCTTCAACAAGACCTGCTATATACATACCCATGTTCACTGCAGCATTATTTGTAATATCAAAGATATAGTAAGATAAGTGTCCATCAAAGAATGAGTGACTAAAGAAACTACGGTACATTCACACAATGGAGCACAATAGAATAATTCAGAATGATAAGGAATTCATAAAACACTGTACAACATAGATGAAGCTAGAGGAATTTATGTAGAGTGGCAAAAATCAATCACAAAAGGACTATTATAAGACCACTATTATAAAAAGCCAAGGAGAGGTTATTTCTTGGACAAAATAATTTTTGGATGGTTATCAGGGATGAGAATGAAGGGAGAAGGGGATTAAAAAAAAAGAAAAAACAATTTGGGTGAAGGGAAAGGAAATCTACAATAAAGAGTTGATTAGACATTGTGATTAATTCAGTACTTGTAATTAACCTTTGAGCTGTGGTGACAGCCAAGAGAACAAACAGATCTGCCTTGGAGAAGGTGCAGCAGGAGTGCTCTTTGGAGGCAGGAATGAGGAGGCTTCACCTCACATACTTCGGGTATGTTGGTAGGAGGAGCTATTCCTTGGAGAAGAACATGATGTTGGAAAGGTGGAGGGTCAGCAAAGGAGAGAAAGACCCTCAGCCAGGTGGACTGACACAGTGACTGCTGCAATGGGCCCTTGTGTGTAAAAAGTGTGAGGATGGTGCAGGATAGAACAGGACTCAATTCTTTTATTCACAGGCTTGCGATGACTTATACTTGACTCAACAAGGCCTAACAACAATAACAACTATAATTAATATTATAAACAAAGAGTATTATGAATAATTGAAAGAAAAACTGTTATGATTCCTACATTTTTACTAAAATTAAAAGTCAATTATTTCCGATTCTAAATGTTGCTATAATAGACTGAGACTTTGGGGGATGTTGTGATAGGCTAGATACATTTAACAAACACTACCAACAGCAATCTTTTGGGACCAGCAACACAAAATGGATTTGTGTTGTTTTGTTTTTTTTTTAATACCACCATTTCCCACTTATTAGCAATAACAGAGGAAATACAAATAGCACCGATTTAAAATGAATCCACATGGCATGTTTTATCATTACAGCTGTAATCACTAGTAACTAAATAGTGCTAAACCGATACATTATAATTATCATCATTAATAAATTAGCCCAATTCTCCTAGAACGCACGGAAGGTCAGACACATGGGCTTCAGGGGGCCAAATGATCACAACCTACAATGTAGCAATGGTTCTCAAAACACAAAACTTTTTGATGAAAAGCAGTCGTTATACACAGCACTGGATTTCACACAATACTAGAATTTATTCAAACACCTCATTACCTGCCCAAAAATGCCTCACTTCCTTCTGTATAGACCCTATGCACAGGCAATGAATAACGTCTCAGACTGCTGATCAAATCTGCTAGTCACTCTATGGGAGCAACATGGGTAGCTTCCTTCCATAAAGATTACAGCGCTGGAAAACTGGTGGAGAGTTGGAATTGTCTTGATGGCAGGTTTGGGTTTCTTCCCCCACCGTATCTGAACAGATTCACTTTACAGAGCTGCTCGGCAAGCACTCCACAGCACCCAAGAGCCCAGCAAACACAATTATTAGACAATGGTCAAAAGAAAAAGAAAGCTTAAGGAATATATAAAGATACTGAACATTTGTTGCTATATAAGTAGAAGTTAATGCTTAAAGAAAAGGAATGGGGAAAATTTACAAAAGTTTATACAAGAATAGAATGACAAACAAAGTAAATGCAAAACTAAACCAAATCCAGAGAGAGTTTAGGTTGCACAACCTAGAACTGAGGGAGTGACAGAAGGAAGAGAATTAAACTGCTGCCAAGTAACCATCTACAAGCAGCGTACCACTTTGTCATTCAACAAATATTTCCTGAACACTATTATTTTATTATTATTTACTATTATTTTCTTGGTAATCTAATTAATCCTGTGGCATATCCTGAGGACTCTCAAAAACTTTCCCTAAAAGTGAATGGTTGTGAATGTGGTGCTACTGAGGGCAGTCGAAGATGAAGTATACTTTAATTTTAAAAATTATAATCTCTAAGAATAAATTCCTAACACCTCACAAAGTAAGAGATTAAGCCATCAACATGGCAGAGTAACTTTGGAGTCACAAGAACAATACACAGAGCAGAGCTTAGAGGGAAGTGAATTTTACCCCCTCAAAATATACCTACCTTCATTTTCTTAACTCCACTGCCCCTCTATGCCAACACCTACCCATATACCTGTTCTTTTCAAAGCTAGTTCTCAATCAGAAGCAATTTCCCTTGCAGAGGACATTTGACAATTTCTCAAAAATTTTATTATCATGCCTTACAATGAGGATAATTCTGGCAGCAAGGATTAGAGAGGCTGTATATACATCCTATATAGACCATAACAAAAACGACCAATGTAAAAATAGTGCTGAGACTGTGACAACTACAGATGGTAAATAAACAGAAAAGTATTTATTCATTAATCACTTGCTTACTTGTGCAGTAAACCTCAAAGAACTTTAAAGTCAGAAGAATATAGAACTGTAGTGACTTAAAATTAAATATAAGTATAAATAAATACATATGTACATAGAGATCCCATGAGTTTAAAAAGTCACAATCTATCATGCACCATGAAAAGTGGGATGTAATCACCTAATAATGGGCATAGGTATACTGGAGTCAGTGAGACTGGCTCACGATAGGGTAGGATTCAGAGATACTGTACATAGGGTCGCTATAAGTCACAGATGATTTGATGACACATAACAACAGCAACAACAACAACTCATAGTCTTAAAAGGGAGCTCTGATGCCATAGGGAATTGTACTGCTAACCCAAATTGGTGCTTCTCTGGTAGGTGTTCACCAATAATTCCATAGGAGAAAGATGGGCAATCTCCTCCCATGCAATCTATAGCCTCCAAAAATTTACAGGAAGGGTCTCCTCTGGGTAGGTGTCTCGACAGCAATGAATTTTTTCAGGTGAGAATCTTAAGATATTCAAAATTAACCACCCATGCTCTGTTCTGACCCTGTGGGAAGTGCTAAGTATTACAGTCTAATGGAAACCTTCAATCTTTACCATTAAGGATTCTATGCCTCAGATTTTACATAACAGAAGGTTGGGCTCACATAAAACTGCTAAATTACTTTCTATAACACACACACACTCTCTCTCTCCCCTTTCAACATATTACCAGACAGTACGAGAAATGCCCAAAGAAAGGATTTTTATGTAGAGAGTCATAATAGGTGAAAGACAGTATAAATCTTGAACAATGGTTCTATAAATCTCTGTACTCTGAAAGAATTTCACAGTATCATCTGGGGATGTTAATATTGTAGCAACATTTGAGATTTCAGTGTTCAATGAAGGAAAATTCTTTTTTTAAAGTCAAGCTTTCAGATACATATAAGAAGCGATTATGATGGAGCAGTGGAGGCAAGGAGATGTGCTATACTTTTAGAATTCTTAAGGGAACTAAGTTATTAATGTATCAAAATTGACTGTAATATACAGCTATAAAAATGTTTCATAAATGTTTAAAATATGCCTCTCTTTATTAATATTTAACAGCCTCATTCAATGAGCTAACAATATCACTTAATAGCATCAGAGGCTTTAACATATATTAGAAGAAACTTATTTCAGATTTAGTACAAGATACTAGCTTGATTTTTCCATCTATATGTTAAGGGATAAAGCAAAATGAGGCGGAGAAAATAAGCCCTTCTTAGAAAGTAGAATCTGAAAGTTCTAAAGTAAAATACAAGCTATGTTTATTCTTCCAGGTACTCTGAAACAGAATAGTTAAAAATAAGAGTAAATAAAAATGTGACTATGTTATTCATCATACCCAAATATAAACCCAAACAAAGGCAAAAATAACGTAATTTCTGTTTATGAGAAACAAAAAAAAAAAAAAAAAAAAAACCCACAAACCTAAATCCAGATTGCTTTCAGTTAATGAATTAAGATTTTCCAGATCATCAAATCTGCCTTGTTGACTGTTGCCTTCAGTTGAGGTTATGGAAGGTAGAGAATCGATGCCAAAATTTTCTTTCATCTTGAGAGGAAGAAAAGTGGAAATGCATTAGTATTGAAAATGCAATGCTGTTCAAACCAGATAACAACAATAATGGAAAACTGGCTCTGCAAACATCCATTCTCAAGTAACGGTTTATATTGTGGTAAGTAGTAACAAATGGCAGAAATTCCATGGGTATGGACTAGTAAAATGATTTTTCAAACACTGGAATGTTTTTTTAAAACTAATTTTCTAAACAGTAATAAACGGATACAAATAAAAACTTACCAAGATAGAGGAACAAAAGATTTATCAGGTCATGGAAGATCAATTATTGATACACACCATTCTCTGTCACATGACTACACTTTCAAGAACTTGGCTGCTGACCCCAAAGGACACAGTGAATTTTAATGTTTCTAAGCTATACTTTCCTTCACACTAGCTCCCTGGTGAACAGTTAGTCATGCAAGCCTAAAACCTATAGGTAAACACAGGGAAACTACTGCCTTGTTCTTGTCTACCTGCAGACACATGTGTTGTTGGAGTTTTTTTAAACACATGTATTTTATGGTATTTCAAAGTGACAAAGTTATTTTGAAGCTACTTCAGAATTTATTACTTTTCTTGAGGATTTTAGCATGAGATTTTGAAAGTCTTTCCAAGTATAAATTTAAATGATGTTGGAAGCACAATAAAGACATAGCAAAATTCACTTGAGATGAGTAATACTATCATTCTCTATTGTTAGAAATGAAAGATGTTCCAAACAAAACTGTGACTTTTATCTTTTATAAAGCGTTCATACATATTTATAAAGTCTTTTCATTCACATTTCACTGCAAGTGAAATACTGATAGCATTTTTCTAAAAAAAAAAAAGTCTGTCTACAGCTAAGTGTGTAACTCTATCAGATACTTAGGGGACTATGGAACATATGAACTGTGGTATTGTCCACAGTGAGTTGCATTGCTAACTCAAAGGCCACACCTCTCTAACAATTCAAATCTACCACCAGCTTCTCAGAAGAAAGATAAGCAATCTCCTTCCAGGCCGTTTACAGCCTCAAAAACCCAGAGGAGGGTTCTCTATGAGCTGGGGTAATCACCAATGAAGGTTCTTGCAGAACATATAACTTAACTAAAATATTAAAGGAATGAAAAGTTAAACAACTCCTCTATCGAAAATAAAAAAAGTACAAAGACCCTCTTCTTAGTTAAAGAAGTATGGCACTGTTTTAACAAGGAGTCCTAGTAGTATACTTGATTATGTCGAACGGTCAGTGGTTAAGCTGTACCAATCACTCTACAGGAGACAAACGTGCAATCTTCTCCTGTAAAGGTTTACAACCTCACAAACCTGGCCATGAGTTGGCACTGACTTGACAGCTTTGCGTGTAGTTTGATAAGTGCTTTAACAGATAGGATCCCTGCTAACCAAAAGGTGAGAGGTTGGATATACCAGCAACTCCAATGTAGAAATATCTGGAAATCCAATCCCTTAACGATGACAACATGAGAAACCTTAGGGTCTCCACTGTCCTGTGTGGTGTCTGTAAGTTGAAACTGACTTCACAGTGCACAAAAAACGAGCACTTACAAAGAGATTTTACAGTAATTTCTTGGCAATTAGAAATTAATAAAAGAGAATGATAGTCAAGAAACCAAACAACTCTAGAACGGACATGGGAATACAGAATTTCAATATAATGGATATAAGGTGTTTGGGGTTTTGCTTTGGTAAACAGAAAAGAAAATTTTAAAAATAACTAAGGAAAAGAATTCTCAGGCAAAAAGAGCCCTATCTGTATATCTTTATTATGATGATTTTAACAAAAGTTTACAGAAAAGTTGGATTTTCATTCATTGTTGCACATTTTCCTCCCTAACCCCCAATTTCACATTTTGTTTTTAAAAATATTCATTAGTTGTTGCACAATTTCCAATTTCCTCCATCCCTACCACCGCTTCTCCAGTCCACTTTGCTGCTATGCACCTCTTATTCTGGACTGTTGTCATACAAATAATGCCTAATCATACATTGCTTTTAAACAGTTCTTTCTTTCATCTGTTCCAATGCAGTATTCATTATTTATCCCTCTTTTTCTAATTTCTCCCCACACCCACACCCCCCCTCGCCCCGCCATGTCAGTCTTGTTTAAAACAGTGGTTTTATGCAGTCTTTGTCCTTTTGTAACTGAGAAACCCACCAGGTTTCTCTTGCCAGGCACTTGTGGGTGGTTACAAACTAGTATTTTGGCCAGTAATTGAGAACGTATTTGTGCCTACCACCTACCTAGGGACTCTTCCATCAGTAATTTAAAAAAAAAAAAGAGTGAATAAAGATGAACGCATCCTAATCATCTGGAATCAAGTGTGCGAAACTGTCTCCATTGTGAAATAAAGGATTAATGTCCAAAGGAGAAATACTCAGTTTTGTAAAAACTAAACTACTCTTTACGAAAGATACATTAGAGTTGAAATAATCTTAATGTTAATATAGAGGGTCATAACTGGCTATCTCATGGAATCAGTAACAGAATATTCAAAGAAGGAAGTTACGGAATTCAACACATTGTGATGTACTACCTCAAACTGCAAACACTGAATGTTGTTCTAAACAAGTCTTTCAAAGAGTCCTTTTAAAAAAAACAACAGAATAAGGGGTAACATTGTGTAAAATAAGTAATATTATCTTGCAAATGTCAACTCAATGCCATCAAGTCAATTCTGACTCATGGTTACACTGAGTTAGTTAGTTAGTTAGACTAAAAAAAAACAGGCGTTTAAGGCTATAAACATTAACAGGAGAAGCTTGCCCATCTTTCTCTCAAGGAGCTGCTAGTAGATTTGAAATGCTAGAGATACAGCAAGGCCTTTTGCTTAGCAGCACAATGAACTGAACCGCAGCAATAGAACTCTTCATATTTCCTTATCAGAAGAATGAAGAGATACAACACCCCTAATATTATGTAAATGAACACTCAAGTTCAGGATAAAAATTCTTGAGAGTATGGGTTTAAAAATTCTGTCCAAAAAAAATTCAGTCCAAACAATCTGGATGGAAAGGAAGATGAAGCATTTGGAGAATTTTAAGTGACCAAAAAGTGATTCCTGTGATAACACAGACCCTGACACTAAAAAGAATTTGAATAGGTGTGTACCATTGAATGTATGAACAGGCAAAAAAAAAATAGTGCTCTATAGATTTTAACATATGAATGTTTGACTAAATTTATACAAAACTACGTACACACATTTGATTATTTTACCTGTATCTCTAAAAATTTATATACTAAATAGATCCATAATTCACATTGCCTTGTATCTGAGTAATAAGAAAACTTTCTGTTTATAGAGGAAAATAATCATATTATCAAATATTTCTATTTAATAATATTAATATTTATTTGCTCCAACCCTATGAACTTTGATAAATGTCAATACTTGTAGAGAGGCTTCAGGCCTTTTGTTCATAGGGTCGCTATGAGTCATACTCGACTTGAAGGCAATCATCATCAACAACAACCATGTAACAATATTCTGTTTGAGGTTATAAATTTATAGACATGGGAATGGGACTGGTAAAGATATAAAGCATGAATATAAATGGGTTAGGTGTTCTGCATCAGCTCTGGCCACATTCAGGCATCATTCATATATTCTCCAAACATCCATTCTTGCACAGCCTGTCCAGAGTTCACTATCATAAGGAATCATCAAAAACCCCAATTTTTTTCAATGCCTCCACCCTTGTGCCTTACACAACAGAGTAGCCCACAAACATTTGCAGAGGGGCAAACAAGGAAGAAAGCCTGAGAGGAGCAACGAAAGCTTCTCCATGCACTCGGCCTGTGAGAAGGTACATGAAGGCTCAACACTATAGGAACCTTCCAGACTAAGCACCAAACTGCTAAGTGGCCTTGTTTAAAAATATCCCCACACAACTTTTTTGTCATTTACCTAAAAGTTAATTCAGAAAATAAACCTAAAGCATCCAAAGAAAAAAGGTCCAAAAGAAAGATGTCAACTGATGACTTACAATTGCGTAAAGAATAAAGTTGAGTGCTAATTTAGAAGGGTATATCTAAAAGTATTATAATTATAATGATGATGATGATGATGATGATGACGTTTTACTGTCTCCTTGTAAATACATACTCTAACAATATAAATATGCTGGTCTAAAATGTACTACCTCTTTACTTGTAATATAGAAAACAGCGTCGATAGCATTTCTATATTAAGTTAATTTTGTCCTGATATAAACACTACGTAAAAAATGTGCAGCATTATCTCCCTAAGGAATTTTTTTTTAAATCAAGAAAGCAAAAGAATTCTTTCTTGAAATGAATAATTGGGACAAAAACCATCCTCACCAAGCAAGGCAAATGCAATTTATTGACTCAAATGAGAAGCTGTATTGTCTCAGTTTACAGGAAATACCAGTCTCTGGCTGCCTAGTGGTAAGAAGCTAGACTACAATCTCAAAAGCATGCAGTTCGAATTCACCAGCTGCTCCATGGGAGAAGGACAGGCGGTCTCCTCCCATGTTATTAACTGTCTATATGGAGACCTGCTGGAGGGTCAGCTAGGGGTGAGCTCCGACTCAATGGCATCCAATAATATCCACTGGTAGCATAGTCTGTGTGTGGCTAATCCAAAGGGGGCACCTCTCTGGCAGTTTGAACCCACCAGTGTGGCTCCACCTCCTAGAAAGACAGATGGCAATCTTCTCCACAAACCCCACTCAGCTATACTGTTGTTATGCACCATCAAGTTAGATCCAATTCAAAGCCAACCTTCCAGTGGTTTTCAAAGGCTATAAAATTACACTGGGATGAGATTTCCCATCTTTGCTTGTGAAGTGACTGGTAGATTTGAGTTTCACGGCTCTGGGTTCATAGCACAGCTCCTTACCATTAGACTACCAGAGCTATCAACTTAATGGCAATGAGTTTGAGCTTCTTGATACCACACATTGCATGGTTGTTGTTACTGTTAGGTGCTGTCAAGTGGGCTCCACCTCACAGAAATCCTGTGTACATCAGTAACAGAACTCTGGCCAATCCTGCAAATACTCACAATTTCTGTCGTACTTAGAGCCCACTGTCACATTAACCATGCTGATATATCTTCTTGAGAGTCTTTCTTTTGCTAATACTTTCTTTTTCCCAGCACGGTTTCCTTCTCCAAGGTCTGGCATCTCCTGACAACAGTGAGTAAACTTTGAGAAAATACTATGAATAGTCCCTGAGCAATGAACTCCCCACTTAGGCACAACCTCTTGAGTCAACTCAGCTACTTTACTGCAATCAAGTACGCAAAACAGAGTTAACCTCCAATGGTTTTCCAAGGCTATAAATCACATGGGAGGAAATTATCCATCTTTCACCTGTAGATTGTTGATGGATTTGGACCACCAGAGCAGAACCACCATTAGGTTAGCAATGCAATATCCTATTGATTATATCACCAGAGCTTCCAACCGTCTAAAGTTCATCATATCAAAAAGTCAAGATACATACAATTGTTTGTAATTAAAAATAGGCACAAGTTTGTGACGTGCATCAAAACAATATGTTAAAGATGTTTTAGAGTGTTTGGGATGGTTCCTTTAATGTTTTAATGTACAGGAAAATATACTCTATACCATACTATGACATACAACTGATTAACAGATGTTTGATATCAAGTATACCTGTTTCAATTTACAAACACTAAATAGATTTAAGAATGGAACTCATTCAATAATCCAGGTACTGCTTGCCTGAAAAAGACTCACTGAAGTTTGTTTCGTTGTTTCTGAGAGTTGTGTAACATGAGGATGGAGGATGAAAAGGAAAGGGTTGGAAAGGTATGGGGGGGGTTTGTCAGAATCCCTTACCAGATTTTCAGCATTATAACCATACTGCTGAGTCTCCTGCGCATACAGACTCATCACAGCTCTTGCTTCTTGAGGTTGAGTTGGTTCATTGTCATGTACCCAGTGACTCACAAAATGAAGCTCCTCCATGGAGGGTGCAGGAGAGGCTTCTTGAACATGTGATGCGGAATACATCTCCATAGACTTCAGATGATTCTGAAACATCTCATATTCTTCATCAACAAGCATTTCTCTTTCTTCACCCATTTCCTGCAAGCTTGGAGGCAAAAATTCATGCATCTCCCAGGCCTCTTTATTGCTGTTAATCTCTTCTTGTTGAGATTGGAAAGAGTTGCCTAAATCTAGATATGGTTCATCCACAAGTTCTTCTTTAAAAAATGGTTCATCTCTAAATTCCTGTAAAGAAAAGTTGTAATAAATAAAATCTAAACGAAGCTTTTCTCAAAGCTGTAACATACACATTAATTGAAAAATAAACACATACTTTAATCTTCTACCTTGTATGCCATAAACGTTTAACATAAACAGCTTTCCATTAAAGATGAGAAGAAATAAAGATAAGCTAACTTTCACACAACTGTCAACTCAGGAAATAAACAGAAATATGACAGAAATTGCCTTCAGTAAGGTAAATAAGTGACCATTCTAAAATGCTCATTATACATTAACCATGTGAAAATTCTTAATCAGAAATAGAAATTTTATTAAACTGATACGCTATGAGTCGCCTGTGACTCCACAGCACTTAACAACAATAACATCAACGTAGAGAGATCAGCTGGCCCAGTGGACAGAAAGCGATGCTACCAAGCTGAAGGTGGGTGACTTTTAATCTGTGGCCCTCGAGCCTGTCTTTCATTGTTTTTGTTCACACATTCCTCTAGGTCATATAGCCCTGGTGTTTCCACTTGCCTACAGCGTACAGCAGTAACTTGTGGTTGCTGTGAGGCTGAACACTGTGACACTGATGTGTCAAATGCATTAATGGTTGGCTATTCAATGCGGACAGAGAGTGGGGTGGAACTCCCTGATTAAAACAAGCTTGGAAGGAAGAGTGGCATCCACTTCCATAATAGCTTGCCTCCGGACACCCTATGACCCTGGAGAGAGGATGAAAGACACCCAAGAGTTGAGGACTCTACTTCATAGGTTTGCTGTGAGTCGCCTGTGACTCGATGGCACTTAACAACAACAACAACATACTTAATATTTAATTTATGAATTAACACTCCTACATATATTATTTACTTTAAAAAAAAGTTTTGAGAGGTTAGAATTTTCAAATTTAAGTAACTCCACAGAAATTATGACTAGTCAAATGATCTAAAAATATTCTCTATAAAGAATATTCCTATTATTTAAATTTGAGTATAAGAGCTTTTTATTATAGACCTATGTAACAGAAATAGTTCTTTTTCATCAATATTGAAAATGAATGGCCAAAAATTAATGACTACAGTATATTTTTTAATAAACTCATATTTTACTTATTACATCAGCATAAGACAATTGAATTTAAGCAATCGTGCATGTAGAGTTCTAGGGTAATGCAGTATGAATATATGGATCTACTGAGTCCTTTTGGAAGCAGGAGTGGCAACCACTTTCTAAACAACATGCCTCTGGAAACTCTATGAATTGTGAAAACTGTTGATAGTTTTAGTGGGGCTTCAGGCATGAAGTCATGTGTCAAATGCATTAATGGCTGGTTACCCACTGAAGGCCATCAACAACAACAACTGAGCCCTTGACCTAAATTGCTGGAACCACTGGGTCCTGGGCACACGTAGGTAGGTATTGCTTTTACTGGTGCTGTTTACCATCTAGCTGATTTTGACTCATGATGACGCCAGGGACCATCTTGTGTCGAACTGCTCTGGAAGGCTTGCATAACGCATCCGCGTCCGTCTTGAAAGAGATTACCAGGTTTGTCTTCTGATATGTCTCTGGGTGGTTAGAACTGCCAAGCTTTCAGCTAGTAATTGAGTGCTTAACTCTTTGTGCCACCAGTAAATTCATGGAATGAATCTATTCCCCTCTGTTGTCTCCTTTCTGACAGTTAAACATTATTGCAGCCAAACTTTAAAAATTAATACTGTTTATCCTTTCTGAACCTGGTTATGGCAGACCAACTGCAGTTAATGAGTATATATTATCGTGTCATATAGTTCTAAAACTCCAACAAAAAAAGTGTATTATTTAAAAAGTATAATGAATATTACAGAAATATCTATCAACATGATAGACTATCTGCAAGTTATAAATATATGTTGTTTTTGCTATGTGTTTTCAAGCTGGAACCAACTCATAGCTGACCCTCCAGAAAGTTTTCAAAGGCTGTTAACTGCACAAGGAGAGACTGCCTATCTTTCTCAGAAAGCTGGTGGATTTGAACTGAGTGCCTTTGAGTGGGAAGTACAATTCCACTAGGCCACAAGGGCTCAGTGTGTGTGTGTGTATGTGTATATGTGTATTTATATTTTATATAAAAAAATATACATATACACCCCCTGATATAAGTAAAACTATAATTGCAAAGAAATAAATATATACTATTCATGTCAAGAATAAAAAAGAAGTACTTCTAAATATGCTTTCTAAAATTAAAGTATAAAGCATGGTTTTACTAAATTAATTCTTTTTTGTTTAGAGAGTATTCAATATTAAATTCTTTTGTATAGCTCCATTTTCTGGACATTTTAAGCATAAATCGAACTTCAAAAATCTGTGGTACCCAAAACCTCTGAGGAATAGACTAGTAAAAGTTAGAAAAGTTTGTTCTTTGAAAATCTGGTTTGTGTAATTTGATGGAGGCAATGTGATACAGAAGGGAAAATGCTTTAATTAAACCTTAGTAAACAAAGAAGGAGGCATTATTTAGTTTCTATTCAGTAAATGTAATACAAGATTTTTGTCTCTTTACTAGGAACTTTAACTTAAAGCAAATCATACAATGGCAAATAAAGTAACTAAATACCTTGGGTGCTTCAAGTATCAAAAGTGAATCATCAGTAGGTCCTGAAAATGTAACTATGTCTTCATTACTGCTTGAATGTAAATTAGAATTACCTTCTTCTTTAATATTATCTTCCTGAAAAAGATAGAACTTTTATAATGAGGAGAATATTTGAGATTCAAATTCTTATCTTTACATTAAGTACAAATATACAATGGAATTTATAGACATAGATTCATTGGAACAAACTTATAGCACTTTCAAAGTTTTTGCTGTAGTTGTCTTTTTTTCCTCCCCTGATTTGATTTTTTTTGTTTTATATTGCAATTTTAATGAAAGTTTACAGAAAAGTTGTGTTTTCATTCATTCATTGGTGCACATTTTCCTCCTGCCTCCTCTCCAACTTCTCTTCTAGTCCTTTTTGTAATGTACCTCTTGTTCCAGATTGTTAATTGTCATATATTATGGTGAATGAAATATCTCAGCCACAAAAGGACAAATATTGCATAACGTTGTTATAAAGTAAGACGGACGGGGAGTTGAGGGGAGAACAGAAGAGTGGATAGATGATGAACACTGCACTGGAACAGAAGAGAAGGATTGTCTGAAAAGAATGTTCTTTTTAAAGTATTACTCAAAAGAAAAATAACTCACTTTATTAGGATCAAACCTTAACATTAAGATATAAATTCATATATCATATCTATATCATTATCTATCATCTATCTATCTATCTATCTATCTATCTATCTATCTATCTATCTATCTATCTATCTATAGTTTTTGCTGCTGCTGAGTCAGAACCAACTTATAGCTAATCATCCAGCAGGTTTTCAGAAACAATAAATCTCACAGGAGGAGACAGACCTCCTTTCTCCCCTGGAGTAGCTGGTAGATTTGGACTATGTGCCTTTAATTTGGCAGTGCCAATTCTTTAGCACTAGGCCACCAAAGCTCCCTAAAATAGGGAGAAAATATATATGTATGTATATGTATGTGTGTGTGTGTGTGTGTGTGTGTGTATATATGTTGTTACTGTTGGGGGGTGATGTATCTACATATCTAGATCCATCTCTATCTCTATCTATCTATCTATCTATCTATCTATCTATCTATCTATCTATCTATCATTCTGTTGTGCCATAGAATCAGAATGTACCCATAGCTGACCCTTCAGCAGCTTTTCAAGAGGCAGTTAATCGCATCAGAGTAGATGGTTGCCTTTCTCCCATGGAGCAGCTGATGGACTTGAATCATGTACAGTTGCCCTGGCAGTAAGATTTCATCTTACCACAACACCACCTGAGCTCCCTGTGTGTATGTATCCCCAAAACCCACTGTTGACAACCCCAATTCCAACGCACAGAGAACCTATGGGACAGAATAGACTTTTCTACAGAGTTTTCAAAAGTATCTTTATGCAAGCCAACTGTCTAATCTTTCCCCAGTTAAGTGACTGGTGGGCTAGAACTGTCAGCCTTCCATTAAGCCACCCAATATGTAATTACTATGCCACCAGAGCTCCTTTAGGTAAGTTTAGTTGTTAAAAAAATTTAACACGGGTTATTGTTAGGTGCTGTCAAGTAGAGCATGATGCATAACCACCCTATGAACAAAAGATCAAACACTGGTTGTTGTTAAGCGCCCTCAAGTGGCATACAACTTACTGTGACCCCATAAACAAGAGATCTGAACCCTGTTCTATCTGGTGCCATCTTTATCATCTCTGATATACGTGATCTCATTGCTGCAGCCACTGTGTCAATCCACTTCATAGACTGTCTTCCTCTCTTTCGCTGGCCCTCCTCCTTTCTGAGTATGATGTCCTTTTCCAAGAACTAGCCTTTCCTAACAACATGCCTAAAATATGTGAGACAAAGCTTTACCATCCTTTCCTTCAAAGAGCACTGTGGCTGCACTTTCTCCAGTACATAATGTGTTTGTTTTTTTGGCAGTTTATGGGTCCACTGACTGTCTTAATGGTAATTGCTCATTAAGCAGAGTAGGTATATGTCCAGTGTGATCCTTCATACTCAAATTCAGTTCCAGGATACAGGAAAAGTATTAAGTCCTTGCCATATGGTACAAAGGGGCCCTTAGTGGAAAAATGATTAAAGCATTCAGCTGCTAACTGAAATGTCTGTGGTATGAATGTACTAAATGCTATGTTAGAAAAAGATGTGGTAATCTGTCTCCATAAAGATTTTGTTGCAGAAACCCCATGAGGCAGTTCTGCTCTGTCCCCGAGGGTGACTGTGAGTCAGGACAGGCATCATGGCAGTGGGTTTCAGGTAGATTACTTTTTTGTTGTTCTGTTTTATATCACCAGCTAGTTCAACACTTCATCTCCATTTAATCTTCACAACAGTCCTCTACACATCCTATATTTATGTAAAAAATCACACACTACTGTCTAATTAGTAATTAGTCATTATGAGTTCCTGAGGCTATTAAGTCTTAACATAAAAAAGTCTGAACATCTTTCCACCAAGGCAGCCAGAGGATTCAAACTTCTGACCTTTTTGTTACTAGCACAATAACCTATGCACTATGCCACCAGAATTCCTTTCATAAAAACGACAAGTGTAAACTGCACAAATTATCTATCAGGCCCAGGTTTAGCCACGTTAAATATAGTAATTCTATGCTCACAATAATTCTAAGAAGTACTATTATTAAACCTATTTGACAAATAAGAAATCAAGTCACAGTCAATATGCATAATACTATACAAGTCACAAAACTGGAATTTTCTCCCTGGCTGTCTGGCTCTGGAGCTTGAGTTCTCAACCACCTTGCTCTGAGATCCCCATGCCAAGGAACACAGGAGCTGGTGGGCACACACAGTGAACGCATGCATAGCCAATGAACAGTAAAAAGGTGTAAAACCCCACAGTCAACTGGCTTAAGACATACACACACAGTCAGCTCCGTCCTACAGTTCTCAACAATGCAATAGTTCACTCATTTTTCAAATCTGAGTTTGTAGAAAAGTCACATTCTCACTTTGTATGAAAATTCTGCTATTGGGTCTCATAAATTAATATCAGCTCACTGTGACAAAATGAACTTCACAAAATAATATTCTAGGTTATAATCTGGCCTAGTGGCATAAGCTGTGCTGCAATCCCAAAGGCACACAGTTTGAATCCACCAGCTGCTCTGTGAGAGAAAGATGGGCAATCTTCTCCCACGCAGCTGACTGCCTCTGAAAACCTATCGGAGGGCAACTATGAGTAGGCTCCGACTTGATGGCACACAACAACAACAACAATGATAATCTTTACAGGAGCACATGCTAAGTCTCCTGCAGTGTTCCTAAACAGGTTCAAATCTCCAACCTTTTGGTGACCAGTCAAACAATTGTAGCAACAACATGTTCATTATGAAAATCTACATTACATATACAAGCTGCACAGTACATGTTCTGTTACATGTTCATAGTCTTTACTCTCCAACTTGGCACTGAGTCTCTAATTCATACTCTCTACCCCTACATTGGCAATGAATTATGAAAAAATGTTTAGTAAGCACTCAGTCACATAAGTGACCATCAACCATAATAAGAAAGAGAGAGAAGGGAATAGTGTGAGAGAGAAAAAGAGGAAGATCTGTGTCTGGTCTCTTACTTCACCATTTACAGCTAATAAACAGACAATCTTACTAAAAGAACCAGATGTTGAAGAAAGAATTACTTAGTGGTAAAACGTCTTATTAGTGACCTTTCTCAATCCCTTTACTGGCCTCCCACTCCCAAGTATACTGGCAGCCTCTGACTTACTGAGGGAAGCCTGGGCAAAGTTCCACCCCACAATTATTACATTCCCAAACACTCTCAGAGCAAAGCTCCAGGGTCTTGAGGTTTCTGAAATTTCTACCTCTGCCAGAAACAGCACAAGAGTCTACAGTCTGTTGTAGTGAGTCCTATTTTCTAAATTGCCTAAAACTTCTTAGACTGCTTCAAGGTAAAGGCCATGCTGTTTAAATGCTATAAATTATAAAAAGTATCAGATTTCTTAAATGTAGAAATTGTTGGATTAATGTATGTAGCCTGTAAATCCCACGGGAGAAGATTGTCCATCTTTCTCCCATGGGTTGCTCTTGCATTCAAACCCCCAGAGAGCCATGACTTTAGGGTAGCAATGCAACTATCTATGGCTACAGAACCCAATATATAGCATACAGGCATTTTATCTGTTCACACATACACATCTGTGCATAGACTGGTATATGAAGATTCATACAGTATGTTGTTTTCTGTAAATATGATTTCAAAGTTGTGCAAAGATCATATTATACATAGAAAGCTGTGTACCGGAGAGCCATTAGTCTGTCCAGGCCCCACACCATTGTCATGCCAAAAGCCTTCATGAAAACTTTGGCTCTAATTTGCCAGTCCTGCATAGCTGTCACTCAGTCTTTAAGAGGCCTGTATGGTGCTTGCACCTCTTTGCTGCAGAGCATATTTACCACTGGGGAAAAAACAACCTACCCAAACCCTGTGGCATATCACACTATTGATGACCGTGAAAATATGCTGGAAGAAATGTGAGTTGTAAGAAGACAATGTGTGTTCTCACTTAGATGAAGTAAACAAATACAAAAAAACCCCAAAGATTATTAATCATTAGCAGAAGGAACGAAGAGGAAGAATTTTAGCTTAGGAAACATTGTGTTGAAGTTGAGGAGAATAGAATAATTCACTAAAACACAATGAAAATAAAGGCACACCATGAAAAACATACACAATATAAATTACACACAAAAACTGTTGAATTAGAGAATGCTTTGTTGTGCATATTCCTACAATAAAATTGGTATTGTTCTACTGTGAACATGAGGTTGCAATAAATTAGAATTGACACTGCTTTGTATATACATATTTATATTGAGATACTATTACCATGTGTATCTATAATAAATGAACACTTTTCAAATGCTACCATATTTGAAAGAATAAAAGAATTTCAGATCTACAAAAGATCTTTTGAGTTCTCTGATCATATTTAATCTTTCCAGAAAAAAAAATTACAAAACTAAAGCCACACACTTAATAATCAAATTGTGATTATGTTTCTCAAAGAGCAAAATTCTACACCAGAATTAAATAGGTGATGGAAATATGCAGATCCCTAAAGTCACATTGTTATTGTATGCCTCAAGTTAGATGCAACCCACAGCTGATCCCCAGTGGACTTCCAGAGGCAGTTTAATTGCCCATCCTTCTCCCACAGAGAACTGGTGGATTTAAACTGCGCACCTTGGAGACTGCAGCACAGCTTCTGACCTATAGGCCATGGGAGCTTCCTGTTTGTTATTAGGTGCCATCATAGAACATTCTGACCCTTAGCAAGTCTATGGACAAGAGAATAAAACAGTGCCTATCCTGTACCATTATCACAATCACTGTTGGCCCATTGTTGCAGTCACTGTGTTAATCTGTCTTGCTAAGGGCTTTCCTCCTCTATCAAGCATGATGTCCTTCTCCAAGAAAGAACTTACCTATCCTGATATCATGTTCAAAAGTATGTATGACAAAATCTCATCATGTTCACTTCTAAGAAGCATTCTAACTGCACTTCTTTTAAGACAGATTTGTTTGGTATTTTAGCAGTCTACAGTCTAGTTAATATTTTTACCAACACAATTCAAAAACATCAGTTCCTCTTTTGTTTTCCTTATTCATTATCTAATTTTCACACATGTCTGAGGGATTAAAGATATTTTGGCTTGGCTTAGGTATATGTTGGTCTTCAAAGTTATATCCTCTGTATATTACAAATTTTTAAATTCTAAACTCGCGAAGCTGTCTAGGAACCAAAACCAGGAGTCCTGAAATCCAGTCCAAAGCTTTATTCTACCCTGCTCTGTGCTTCAACACGCTGCATGTAAACTGAACAAGTGGTATATATTAAAACAAAGTACACAGAACTCATTGTCTGAAGCCAAAGTGCCAGGTTCATCTTAAACTCAGTCCTAGTGCCTTACCACTTGTAACAATAACCTATCCCATGCATCTGAGGGCTGGACAATGAATGTGATTGATGGAAGAACGGATGTCTTCAAGTTGTGGTGCTGGAGGAGAGTACCGAATATTTCATGGACTGCCAAAAGAGCAAGTAGATATGCCCTGGAGAAGGTGCAACCAGAGTGCTCCTTGGGGGTAAAAATGATAAAGCTTTCAGCATGTTGCCAGGAGGGGGTATTCATTAAAAAGGGACATCATGCTTGAAAAGGAGGAGAAATGGCAAAAGAAAGGAAGATCCTCAAACAGATGGGTTGACATGATGACTGCAGCAATGCGCTCAAGTATGTCAAAACAGTAAAAGTAGTGGTATGAGGAATAATGTCAGCAAGTTGCATTTGTGTAATATTATATAAAGTATCAAATATAATTTCTTTAATCCTAAAAATTCCATTAGGTAGAATAGACTTTTTGCTGATTTTTTTTTTTAAATCAGGGATACTTAGAAATTTGTCCAAGGTCACACAAAGTGAACAGCAGAATAAGGATCCAATCTCAAGTGTGTCTGTCTCCAAAATCTATCTCTTTAACTATGACATTGTTAAATGTAACCCACTGCCATTGAATCAAGCCCCATTCAGTAACAACTCTCTGTTTTACAAGGTTGTAGATCATTAGGGAACAGAAGGCCCTGTTTTTCCTCCCTTTGAGCAGTAGGTGGGTTAAAATCTTTCCATTAGCAGTCCAAAATGTTATGCACTATACCACTATGACTCTACACTGCTAGGCCTTCTGTATTAATCAACTTGCACTCACCACCAAAGGTTTACAGATGCCAAGGCGTACAGTTCCTGGTGGCACAGCTTTCAAAACTTCCACAGCTTCAGCAAGCACAGTGTTGTCCAAACAGTGTTCATTGACTGAAACTAAGCGGTCTCCAGGTAAAAGCTCTCCACCTCTTTCCGCCACACCATCCGCCACCAGAGAGCGAATCACAATCACTGATCTCGTGGAATCTAAGGGATCCTAAAAGTCAAGCAAAGTAGAAGAAGGGCTCATTTCCCAGAAATATGTCGTTTATGTTTACTTATGAATCAGATATAACTACTAACTTTATGTGACCAGCATGCTGGTGATATTCTTCCAAAGATGTAGAAAATACTCAGAGAATAACTCATAAAAATGGTTGTATATATCAAAGTGCAGAATATCTACCTTTAAGAATTTCTATTTATAGTGCCCTCATAGCCAGCAAGCAGATCAAACCTGAGCCAGGGCAGCTGACTGGCACTCAAGCAACCTGAGTGTACACGTCTGGCCATTTTGAAAATGATCTCCAGTAGGATTTTGTTGCAGAGGAAGATAAAAGTGGACTACATGAACATCGTGTAGAGCTCACGGTCTCACGGCCTGCCTTCAGACAACGATGGTTTGAGTCCCTGTTCTACTGCTTTTTTTTTACTTTTTCAACTTTGAGCAGTACTGTTCACCCCTCTAGAAGCTGTCTAGGAACTCTTCTCCATTTGTGGAAGTTGTCGTTT